AGTATAACATTATACCATGATATAAAACTAAAAAAAGTTGATTTTACATGATATTGCTCCTTTAAAAAGAGACTGAATAAATTATTTCTTATCACCAAATGCTGCTTTCTTTGTTTGAAATATTTAATCTTTTCTTGCAAACATTTAAAATATCAGGCCTCATGTGTCAACAGTGCGTACTCTGAATGCGCGGACAGACACGCCAACTTTTTCAGTCCACATTTTCAATCCACAAAGTGCTAAATCTCCCCTAAACACAGAAAAATAATTCCATTTATGGATGCAAGGGACATCTGAACTTTTATGGTTTAAACCTGAATGATGAAACGGACCACGTTTAACCTCATACAACACAACACAGAACTCAATTGGAAATAACATCACTCCAATGCAAACTGTAACGTTTCCTCTGTTTTAACACATGTAGATGTAAACGCATCAGTGATTGCACACAAATATGTCTCTAAGCTCTATCAAGCCCCGAGCTCATCTGCGTTTACAATAGTTACGTAGTTAAACAYGTGCAGAAAGTTGGAAATGTTTCAGCCTCAGAAATGTGGTGGCAGATGCTCCGGTTCAGTGAATTCGACAGCAACAGCAGCTTTACATATAGCCACTCTGGGCACACATGATAACCCTCTTTTTTTTACATCCCACTACTTGTTTAGGAGCATCTCTCACTTACATTTCATTTAATCCATTGTTTTCCTGTATCTAGACATCATTTTTGCTAGACATTTTGCATCTATTTATTATACTTAAAAAGAGGCATGTCTAGGGAGGAGTCTGACATCCGCTGAGTTCATTGGGCTGGATGAATGAAACGGGTGCAGAAACATGCATGTACACGGTTTGATACAGCTGAGTATTTATGTGCATTCAACCATACACCATTCAGTATAAAACCTGCACACTCTTTGATGCAAGAGGCTGCTTTTCTTTTTACCTTAATGCACGATTAGTACTTTATAGATACCTCAGGAACYTGTGATCTGCTATTAACTCAGTTAACTGGTGTACATTTCCCAGTTTCAATTTATAAACTTTTCTTTGTCTCAACCTTCTTATTATTTTAGGTTAATACAAAAACTGGAGTTAACTAATGAAAATATTAAAGGTTTCCCAGTGACTACATRATCATGTAAAGAGCCTAGATAAGGTAGCACACGTACAGATTGATGTGTTGGAAATGTGAAAGATATTTTTATTCGTGAGGAGAAAAAAACCAACAGCTTGTGTTTTGTGTGTGACTAAGGCACCGACAACTGTCTTGTTATAATGATGGCAGAGAAAATGAATTTTTTCAGTTTGGTTCCAACACGAAGGAAGAAAACCTCGCCGGTTTCTGTAAAGTCCTGAAGAAGTGGAGGCTCGCTCTGTTTGTTTTGGAAAGACGCCTTTCTGCCGTTGGGAAACAGGGCACAATTTTGTTGTAGCTGACGCATTTTAGGTTTGGAATGAGACTCTGGAATGTTGTCCAGCTTAAAATATTGAAAAAAAAAATTTGAAAAGCTTCAAAAGTACGAAAATTATGCTCTGATGAAATCCAGGCCAAAAATAGTTTTTCAGTGGGAATCACTTTCTGACTTTCTGGTATGTGATTTTTTTTTTTTTGCTAATTTAACATTTTTCCAGAACATTTGACTACTGCTGAAAAAAGGCACAACTTTGTAGTTTTTGTTTGTTCACCTACAAAACAACATTCCCTGCATTTGGCAAGAAATGCAACATTTGATAAAAGATGTTGCTCTTGGTTTTTGTTTTTGCTAAATATAGCAGAAACACCATAACYACCAATATGAGACATCATTCGCACCTAGTTACTTGACATTTGTCGAAGCTTCTTACATCAAAATTTTATGTAGTTTCTCTCAACACAAAATTAAGCTATAACCAATTATTTTATGATAGACTTCACATGGTTGATGGAAGAGAGGATTATTATCTAAAGGAAGAAGTGACTGATATGTAATTAAAGCYAAGCAGAACACACTGTAAGTGTTTTGGACACGACGGGTCACAGGGATTGATTGCTCACAGCCAGGCCCCGCAGTGTTCACTGAGAGAAAGTTTGAAAAATTAGTGAAGCCAAAGCAGTGCTGACTCTAGCTATCTTAGTGCCCTAGGCGAGTTGAAGCGCAACGCCCCCCACCCCAATTTGAACCCCTAAAAACAAGTYTGGCAGTGTAAGGTACTTAGAAACTTAGATTTATTTGCTTTCCCAGAAAGCAAATAAATAACAACATACAGTACATGTCTACTTGTACGATTTGTCCGTAAGTTATAAGGATTTTACGTCATTTTGCAGGTATACGGGCGTATAGGGAAATCTCACGGATTTTTTCAAGTCTCATGGATTTTTTCAAAACCTCTTTTTCAAATTTATCTAACATGTCAGAGCCTGTGGGATGATTAAAAAAAACAATACATAACATTAAATAGCCATCTTCCAACCTGTTCTGCCGGGAGAAAAAAGTTTTGAACTTTTTCCGCTCTCCTTTCCTCTTGCTTCACAGCGGGCACTTTCACATCCTCAGCGAGGCTGACACCCCCCCACCCCACCTCCCACCTCGCGGGTGCGAGTTGTATGGATTTTTTTTTGCAAAATTTATGGATTTTTGAGGCTTTTTATACAGGTAAATGTCCAAAGAGGTTGACACGTATGAGATARCAGAATGCAGACTTGTTGTTAGTGAGTTTGACAACACGAACCACTACCTGAGAGGCACTACTAGCCCCTCCCCCATCAGTGTCGGAGCAGGATGAGTCAGTGCAACGTCAATCAAATGAGAGAGAGGGTGGGGGCGATTGCTGCATTGGGGTGTGGAGGGAATGTTTTATGGGTAGAGTAGTTTATTTTTCCTGTAATACTTCATTATTGTTTTTTAAGACAAAGCTAATTGAAAGGGGTGCTGAGCAGAGTTACAACCAGTGATTACAAATAATTACTTTTTTTTCTTCTGCAGTTTGGCACCCCCTCCAGCAGATGGCGCTCTCGGCAACCGCCTAGTTCGCCTATGCCAAGAGCCGGCTCTGAGCCAAAGTAATTTGTCAAGTGCAAGCTCCAGGTCTAACTTGCTCTAGGTGTGGGAAACATTGTCTTCTTTTTTTTGAAAAGATGAGCATTGTACGAGTGGCTAACAACTAGCAGGAGAACTTGTGTAGTATATTTGGGGCACGTCATTCATAAGGCTTCAAGCATCTTCATGAAGCTTCTATTATCACTGTCTCACTCAGTTCATGTGTACACAACAATAGGTTTTGTAGCTATTGTACATATTTGGGATTCAATGTTTATGTGCAGGACCAAAAGTGTCCACAGCCAGTGTTCAGCTTTCTAAACTCACAAGTGTCGACAATTCTCCAGCYCGGTTTGATCACATTTTATTGTGTTACATTAAATCAAAGATTAAGTTGCAAGTGTTGCGGTGAAATATAGGCAGCTATCGTGCATTGGTTGAAAGAAATTTTGATTTTTAGAAGTATAAAACCTAAAAACATGTCTGAGCAGGACCAACAACTAATGATGATTTTGATCAGAAAAGCTAGATTTTTTAGCTTTTTTTTTTGCCTGCACACTAGCAAGAGTATATTTGATTGAGATTTAATTTTACTCAACTTTTATTGTATTGGTGCTGATTATCTGTTTAACTGTTTCACATTGAGTTTTTAATTTATCATTGTATGTCACTATTTTTATGCTTTCTTTTATTTTACTTATTTCAGATGTTCAGCACTCAGTTTCAGCTGTGGCTGGTGTTAAAGTGCTTTATAAATAAAGTTTGATGATGACATATAATACTAGCATGATAAATACTGATATTTACTCATAGTTTCAAGTTTCCTTTTTCAAATGATGTCCAGACTGCTTTATTAGAATACAGGATTCAGACACATTTTCCAAGGGTTTTACTGATTATAGCAAGACAAAAGAAGCCATTTACCTGGAACTGCTCATGATATCAGGATGRTCCAGTTATCAAAATGTAGCTTTAAAAGCCAGAAATCTGAAAATGTGTTTAGTTTCTTTTGATCAAATCTGACTTAATTCCCCATTTCATGTTATAGATCACAGTTAATCTCACTGACTGCCTGTAGCTGTTATGATGGGTTGTGACTGAGACTCAGCTTTTTTTAAGCCATTGCATTTTAAAACCTTAAAACATATTCACATGATCTGAAATTTTATTAAAATGACAACATCATAAAAATAAGATACTAAAACTTGCTCTGGTCCTCTCTTAAAAAGGAGTTGTGTGAAAAAAAGGTTAAACCATCACAAATTTCTTTATCCTTTAATTCTATGGATTCAAACTTATTTTGGCTTTGCTCAACATATTTTTAGACTTATTAAAAGATGAAAATGTAAGAGGGGATCAAGACCACGTTGGAAGATCCCAAGAAAGTGTGGCTTTCTGG